GTCAGAGCCACACACCTGAGATGCAAAAAAACAACCATCCCAAACCCTCCCACCCCTCACTAATGTGGTCCCAACTGTGCTGGTGGGGACGGGGAACAGGGTGCTGGGGCAGGGTATTCGTGGGGGGCATCTGGCCAGGGTGAGGGGACACAGACAGCTGGGATCCCGGTCTCAGGAAGCGTGCTGGCTGCTCTTCCCCTCCCCTTTTCCAGGCACCCCCTGCTCTAACCCAATCCCCCTCCCCTGCCCCAGAGCTAGGTGTGTGCGCGTGCACACTCACACTCACTCACACTCCCCATTGCCAGGCACCCCCCCAACCCAATCCCCCTCCCCATTGCCAGAGCCAGGCACACCCCTCTCCCAAACCAAATCTCCCCCCGACCAATTCCCTCCCTCCTTCTCCAGACTAAAAAGTCAGGCACCCCCACTCCTGCTCTAACCCTCCTCCCCACTACTCTAACATAATTCTCAGGTCCCGGAGCCACTGCCACCACCGCGTGTCTCCCTCCAGGCACTGGGGCGCGTGCGCTGAGCAGCCAGCACACCATGGGCACCCTCCCCAACCCAATCCCCCTGCCCTTCCCAGAGCCAGACACCTCTCCTCCCCACTCTAACCCAATTCTCCTCCCCCACTAATCCTATGCCCAGGTCCCAGAGCTGCCACCGCCACATCCAAAGCCATCGTCACTGCCTGCGCTCAGCAGCCAGCTGCTAGCACGTGCAGGCTGGGATGCGGTGCACAACCCAGCCTGTACGATGCAGTGTGCTGGGGGGCCAAGAGCAGAATGGCGCAGGCCATGAGCACGTATGCAGCTCACAGTGGCCCGGCCATGAGAGCAGGTAACCTGTGCAGTTCTGGGTTCCATCCCAGTTCTGCCAGGAGCTGCAATTTTTTTATGTGGCTCACGAGCCACAGGTTGGCCACCACTACCCTAAGTGTTCTGAAAGGGTTACGGTAGGCTGCACCTGAGAAGGAACCAGGAATTAATGTTACTTAATTAAGGATGAAGCTCACTCAGGCTGGAACAGGCCAGACTTCTATAAAGCTAAGAAGCTGAGACCAGGAGGAGGCTGAAGGGAAAGTATGCTATAGTTGCTTCCTGATTGGAGGGAGGTGTGTTGAAGATGATAGAGTCTGGGAAGAAGAAGAGCCCTGGGGAGTGGAAGAAGCTCAGAGGGCTGATAAGCCCAGAGGTGCAAAAATATAAGAGATCAGAGTCCAGGGAAACAGGAGCATGCAGACCATAGTTGCAGATCCTTATAGGGTCACTGGGCTGGAACCAAGAGTAGAGGGTGGGCCAGGTTACCCTACCGGCTACCGGGCAAGTGCACTCACAGCCCATGCATGGAGAATGAAGTATTGCCTGAAATGGCACAGGTACAGCTTATCCTAAGAGGCTCTTACACACCCTGGAAGAAGAGAATTATAGTGGCCAGTCCACAGGGCCAAATCGCAAAGAGGGAGTAGCTGAGTCACAGGAGTAATGAGTCCTGAAGAGTCAATGACCTGAGCAACTGAGGACAGGGAGTACACCTGATAGATCAGTGGTGAGCTAGTTCTCAGATAAGCCACAAGGAGGTGCAGCAGCAGTAACTAGTGAACCTTATTACAGTGCAGTATAAATATAATCCACATTGAAACCCATTCTTCACCCATTCCATCAACCTAACTACCATTAGCCATGGAGGTAGTGTTTTCTAGAAATAGAAAAACCCCTTCATTGTTGTAGGTGGTGTCTATATTCTGGAGTTATTGCATCATAGCTAGGTTGGCATAGTTCCCATAAATACAGATGTGACAATCATAAGCAAACTTTCTTAGGGTGGGATTTGAACTACAATTCCCTAAGCACCACTTCAAAAAATACCCCAAAGTGTTCTTGATTCTCTATAGAAAGTAGCAAGAGTCAAATTTGGAAGAAAGGAGCATCCCCCACATTTCATGTATATGCCATTTGTATTTTGATATGATACAGTAAAGTCCCAAAGATACAATCACAAGTTTTATGGACAGACCAGTCAACCAGACACTATATGAAATCAGATGTAGCCAATCATGCAGCAGCAGAGACAAACAAACAACCCATAATATGCCTGTATTGCATCTTAAAAGACAGGCATGTCTGAGCTAGCTGTAACCACTCATCCCCGCCCTCAAACATAAGGCTGGTACGTAAGAGCTAAGGATGTTAAATTTACAGGGCTCAACAATTAGGACAATCTACTTGCCCGTGGTGAGTAGATTTTAGCCCAGCATGGCGCCGCAGCACGGTCTGCGCATGCACAGCGTGACAAACTGCGCGGCTGGCGAGCGGGGTTCGCCACCGCTTGTCAAGCCCTGTAAATTTAGATTAACCAACTAATCAAACAGTCGATGACAGCTCTTGGTACATTTCAAAGGCAGGAGCGCCGCAGGGAGCACGGGGCCAGAAAAGGACTGCTTGAGTCCCCCACTGACCCTGTGCGCCCCACCCATGCTTTGCTTTTAAAATGTACATGAGCCCCACTCTTACTACATTTCAAAGGTGGAAGCGCTGCCAGTTCCCTGCTGCGCCCCTCCACCGAGACAGTGCACAAGCCCCTTCCCCATATTTTTCCCCCTCTCCTTCCCTCCCCTCAGCCCAGCCCAGCCCAGCCCCTTCCCCTCCCCCAGGGGCAGCTCTAGGTTTTTTGCTGCCCCAAACAAAACATTTTTTGGCTGCACCCCCTTTGTTGTTGTCTTTTACACGTTTGCATTTTGCAATGAGTTTTTTTGTTTGTTTTCGGAGTTTTTGTCCCAGCATTTTTGTTGTCTTTTACATGTTTGCATTTTGCAATGGGGTTTTTTTTGTTTGTTTTCTTTTTTGTCCCCGCATTTTAGCCCTATAATAGCAAATAGCATTTTCATTCTTTTTTTCCATAAAGGCAAAGGCGCTTCAAGTGAACTCCCCCTTTCACTCGCTGCTGGGTCACAGCAGCCTTTTCCCTGCTCTGTCCAGCCCCTCCCTATGGGCAAGCACCCTTCACTCCCGACCCCCAGGGACAGCACAGAGCCAGAGGGGTGCTGGGAACAGTGGGGGAGTATGGGGGTGGCACGGGGAATGGGAGGCACAGAGCCAGAGGGATGCAGAGATCGGGGATAGCAGGGTGCGGTGGAGGCACAGGGAATGGGACGTGGGGAACAGGAGGGGCAGAGAGATTGGGGTCTAGGGGCAGTGCAGGGAACGGGCAGCACAGAGCTGGGGGGGCAGGGATCGGGGGAGCAGTGTGCAGGGTGTAAGGGTGGCGCAGAGCCAGAGAGTCGCAGGGAAGAGGGAGAGCAGGGAGTCCCGGGGTGCAGGGGTGGCACGAGGAACAGGCGGCGCGGGGAGACAAAGGGGCGCGGGGAAGACGCAGTGAGCCGGGCGGTCAACAGGGAGTGGTCCCTCGCCGGCAAGGGGTCTGGGGCTGTGGCAGGACTGGAGCCGGCGGGGCGGGGCGGGGCAGGGCATAGCCTGGCTGCACCGCACACTGCAGCCAGATCCCGGGGACATGCAGCCAGAGCCGAGCTGCTGCAGCCCTTTAAAATCGGTGGGGCCACGTCACACCAGCGTCCCATCCTCTGGCTCGCGCCCCGCCTCCTCGCACCGGAGCGGCACGCAGGCAGCCCGGCGCTGAGAATCACCGCACTTCCTCCTCCCCAGCAGTGCTCTGCCCCTCCGTTGGCTGGCGGATCAGATGGGGCCACGCCGTCCGTAGTGCGGGCTTCAGCCAGCCCGCCCCTGCACTCGCCAGCTGGTAAAATCTACTCGCCAGGGCAAGCGGGCGAGTGTATTTGTCGAGCCCTGCTGATAATTATGTACAGACACACAACATACTAACCCAAAGTCCTTCCATTATTATAGTGCACTGCAATCTTACTCATTAACACATCAAGCCACCACTATGTACACTTTGGCTACATCTAGACTGCATCCCTCTGCCAACAGAGGGATGCAAAACAAGCACTTCAGAAGTGCAAATGAGCCTGGGATCTATTTAAATGAGGTCTGCAGCACTGAACCCCTGGTATTGGGGTTGCCAGATGGTTTAACAAAAAATACTGAACACCGCTTCCCCCCCTGCCCCCACCCCCCCCAAAAAAAAACATCGGGAAAAAATTCTGTTGAAGGGGAGAAAAAGGGGGGGAGGGAGGGAAGAGAGACCAAAGTTGCTGGGGGGGGAGGGGAGGAAGGGACTCCAAGGACTTCTTAAGACAAACAAACAAACAAACAAACAAACAAACAAACACATGTCCCCCTTAGGAGTGAGTGTAGGGATAGGACCAGGGGAGCGGTTGAGCACTAAGACTAAGCATTGCTTCCCCTAGGTCTTTTGGCCGGCAGCCATTTTGTGCCAGGAGCCTTGGGGAACCAGGTAAGCATGGGGGCTGGGGTCATTGGGGGCCAGAAGGGGCTTGCGGGGAGAGGGGGAGGCTGGGCACTGAGTGTTTGTAGGGTTGCTCAATGCCCAGCATTTTCGCCTCCTGGCTGGGGAAAAATTCAGAAAAAATACCAGACATCTCAGGTGTCCGGTATTCTCTGAATTTTTTTTTTTAAACCAGATAGAAGGTGAAAATACCAGACTGTCCGGGTGAATACCGGACACCTGGCAACCCTACTGAAGAGTATACATTTCTTATGCTGAGACATTTACTTACAGTCATATGCCAAGATATTTGGCTTGTCTACAGAGTTTGTCAGCTTGTACTAGAGGACTAAATTCTAGTGCTCACTAGCATGCTGCTCACTACCTGGCCCAGCGGGTATCCTGATGGTGTATATTAAATATTCCCCAGTGAATGTTATTCCCCAGTGAATGTTAATGTAGTCTCAATGTAGTTTTAAATGGGATGACATGAACACACACTAGGAAACATTTACTGCATGCCAGCAGGATTCACAACGGACAGCGAGTAAAAACTCTGTGCACTCTAAAATTTACACCTCTCTGGTGCAAGCTAATAAACCATGACCAAAGCAGACAGTGACAAAACTGAATACCTTGCTGAGTTTCCACTTCGGTTCTTAGCTGTAGGAGCTCCACTTCTTTAGACTGCAACTGTTCACTCAAGATTTTCAAGGACTCTGTATTCTCTTTTATCTAGTTTAAGAAAAAAAATCATCAAGAAACCTTCTGCAGTTTGCTAGTTATAATAACTTGAAACATAATCTGTAAATAAAAGTTCCTGCATGGTTTTAGTGATTAGCCACAATATTAAACAAAACCATGAAAATGGTGGCCCACAGAAAGAGGCATTGAGAATGTTATCTTGTTCCTATATAAAACATCACCAAAATGTATTTAATGCATAGGCTCCCTTGTTTAGATTTTTAAAGCAATACAGGTCTTCAGGAAATCAGTACAAAAAATCCAAGAATTCTCTCTTCATTACATATATTTACTCTATAACAATCCTGCAGGACATGCATCTGTTTTTAATTCACTATGTAAGTGGACATACTATCTTATCCAGTTTGCTTTTCAGATTATCTCTTTCGATGCAAGCCTCTCGATAGGCTTGATAGGCCTTATTTACTTGCTCCCGTCCAACTGAGCTGGTTTCTTCTTCCAAACGGGAGCCAAGGAGCTGAGTTTAGTAAGAGAAAGAAATAATCGTCATCTATTATATTTGAAATAGCTTTTAATAGTCAGTGTTGTCTGCATATCAAACTATTGATATTTTACAGCTAGCAACTGTAAACTTAATGGCACTTTCATATTCTGGAAAACTAAGCAATGTCACATATGCACATTTATATACATGAACATTTTAGAGAGCAGTAATAAAAAGTACTTATGACTTCTGCAATCTACTTTTAGTCATCATTAGTGTTGGTTAGATTATATTTAAGAATGATCCTTTTTAAAACTCAAGTCAAGGATAATCCAGAAGTTTGTATATTATTACGAATAGAGTTGGGCAAAAGTATTCAGAAGAACAGTTTATTTGCCCACACCCCAAAAAATGCAGGTTGGCCAACCAAAACTACTCCTGAATTTGACCTGATTTGTTAAGCTGCAAAAAAGGGGTGAAGAAGGAATGTGTACAAAGTTTGAATCCCCACTCTAAAACGGGGTCTTGAACTCAGCTCTCCCCACTCCTCCTGGATGAGCATCCTAGCCACCAGAAAATAGATTATTCTGGTACAGGTTGGTCTCAGTCTCTCCAGTTAGAGGTCTCGTGATGCTCCACATTCCGTCTCTCTGCCCGATTCAGAGAAGATGCGAATTCACATCTCCTCACACCCAAATGAGTGAACTAATTACTAAGGGTATGTCTACACTTGCACCCTCTTTCAAAAGAGGGATGCAAATGAAGACATTCGAAATTGCAAATGAAGCCGGGATTTAAATAGAGCTATTTCGAAATAACAAACGCTGTTAAGACGTGGTTATTTCGAGAGAAAACCCTTCTCTCGAAATAACCCTTATTCCTCATACAATGAGGTTTACCAGTTATTTCAAGAGAAGGGTTTTCTCCAGACATAACCGCTTCTAACATCATCTGTTATTTCAAAATAGTGCCATAACGCGAATATGCAAATGGAACACAGGATATTTAAATGCTGGCTTCATTTGCAGTTTTGAATGTCTTCATTTGCATCCCTCTCTTGAAAGAGGGTGCAAGTGTAGACATACCCTAAGACAGATTCACTCACGCAAATGTATTTCTCAGGAGACCAGGATCAACAAACAATTATGCAGGAGTGTGTGTTTTATGATGGAGATTAACAGGTAAGATTATTTGGCCTATGTAATTCAAGAGGTCAAACTGAAACATCACAATGACCTCTTCTACCTTTAAAGGCTCTGAATAACAGATGAAAATTGGGTTGAGTAGTGCATACAGTCTTCTCTCTCTAATGAAAATGTTTGTAGACAGAAGGTTTACTTTGCTGTTGTTCAAGTTCAGATTCTTCTAAGAACTTTTAATTATTTTAACATTACCTGCTCAGAAAATTGAGTAAAAATTGGTGGGGTTTTTTTTTAACTATTTAAACCTAATTAAAATTAAATTTGAAACTGACACTTTATGTTAGGGCCTGAAAATAGGTTATTAAAATCCTTTAATTAAAATACAAAAAAAAATATTAAGCATTGTATGTTAGCTGACACTTTTTAAAGGAAAAAAAAAAATCAAACCATTGAACTGGTAGAAGACACAAGCTAAGAATCTGTAACCAGAATTTGTTGAAGTGCTAAACTAGCTTTCGACAGCAGTAATCTCTTCGGCAGATACAGAGAATATTTTCTTCAATTTATTCAACTAGTTTTCCTCAAAGTTTAAAAAAAAAAAAAAAAAAAAAAAAAAAAAAAGAGTTGAAAGCAAGGTTTCTTGCTTTCTTTTCTGTCAATTAAGGTAAAAGGATGAAAACTAGTTCTAAAATTTTCAAGGACATAGCAATCAGAAACAGTTTAAAACAGTAGCTACAGATAATATTGCCTTTGTTTAATAAATCACTTAATTTTAAATGCAGAACATGTTTTAATTATCTTTTTGATAAGCTTTTTTCATATGTACTTAGTGCATTTAAATGATATTTAAAATGTGGTTTCTATGCAATTTAGTTGAATTACCATCTAAGTATAGCCTGTCGCAAATCATAAGTGGGCTGCCAATCGCAACTCATAGCAGTTTTACCTGAGCTATTAAATAATACAACACTAAATTAAATGTATTAAATATTTTGCATTCATTTGAAAAAAATATACTTAATATTTTTCCTGTCATCCAGTTATTGTATCCACTCCTACAGACTGGTATCAGAATTCTATGCCAACTGCTTATAAATGAATCTCTTCAAAAAAAACTCTAAGAGACAAAGGTATTAATGGAATCAACATGTTCTACATAATGTTTGCCAGGACAGACAAGGCATTTAAAAGAGGATTTGTATTTAATTTTTTAAGCTATTTAGAAACATAACCTATGACGAGGTCTAAATTTAGATTATAATCTATTAACATAATTGACATCAATACAAAAAAATATTCAGCACTGCATGTTTGCTGCCCTGTTTTAAAAGAAGGTCAAACCACTGAACTGGTTTAAGTCACTGGCTAAGCACCTGGAACCAGCTAAACCAACTTTCAACAAATAGAACTTTTTCTGCAAGTGAAGACAAAATATTTTCTTCATTTCAGTTTATTCAGACTAGTTCAGTTTAATGCAAACTTATTCAAAGTTAAGAAACTAATTAGGAGCTGATAGCAGGAGAGCTCATTTTCCTCTCAAATCACTTAATAAAATCTAGGTGTGAGAGGATGATGATATGCCAATTCACTATCTACAGATATTTCCTTTATTTGATAAATCAGCTATAAAGACTTTAATATAACTTTTCTTATCCACTCAGAACATTTAAAGGTATTATTTAACAAAAACAAAAAAGCACCACGTAAGCAACCCTGCCTACTTATTTAACTCATTATTAAAATTGGTGATTTAAAATTACATGAATTTAAAAATCACTCCACTATGACATCTGCATGAACAAATTACGTATTTTCTCAAGTTTATACAAATTCAGGGCCAAATCATAACATACATAGGCAAAAAGCTCACTAAAGATTTGCCAGCATAAGTACTTCAAGAATTACCCCTCCAGAAAATTCTCCTCAATAACTTGGGTATTTTGTTTTGTTTCTAGGAAGCCCTAAACACACAGTTCCTTCTTCCAAACACAAATCACAGCAACTTGTAGCTTCAAATGGTTCTAAACATCAGCAGTCCAGACTTTATCCATCTTTTTATAAGGCACTATATACCTAAAGGCAAATAAGTGTATCTGAATACATCATTAAGTCACTCTTAATTCGTTTAGAAACTACCCGTCATTATCTAATGTGAAGACAATTAGTTTATTCAAATCTAGAACCCTTTTGGCCAGTGAATTAACATATTCACTGATATTCACTTGACAGTGACATTCCCCACTTATAACTTTAGAGCTTTAAAGGGAGGTAAAGAGATGGCTTCACTGTAGGAAATTCATAACTTGGGTAGTTAAAAAAATCCACAAAAAATGCCCACTCGCTCACGTTAAATTTTAGAAGACCAGGATAAGAACAATTATTTCTTACCTCTCAACATCAATTTTGGCCCTTTTTAAGAGTCAAACATTTTTGTTTTACATTTCTGGTTAAGATTTTTTTATATTTCTATTTACTAACTTTATTCACAGAAAAGCTCTGTATTAGAACTCAAAAGCAGGGGCAGATGACTGTTTTGCGGGGCCCCAGGCAGCATAACTCCGCGGGGACCCCCTTTTGCCACGGCGCATGCGCCGCGACACCATGCGCATGCGCAGTGGCGTCACGGCGCATGCGCGGGGCTTTAAGCGCGGAGCCCGGGGCGGCCGCCCTGTTCGCCCTGCCCTATATCCGCCCCTGCTCAAAAGCAAAAGGCTATTAAACAATAAACTAGGCTGTCAGAGGAAAACAAAATGGGTTTTAAAAGATGGTGTATCTATCAATAAATAATTTATTACAAACATAGTATTTCTTTTTCTTCTTTAAAGATAGAAAAATTAATAATATTATGAAATGATTATCCATCCAGGCTATCAGGGAAAAATTCTTATTACAGAGTAGTAAAATAGTTACACTTACCTTTTCTTCTAAGAGTCTTATTCTTTTCTTCAAAAAGGAGTTGTCCTTTTCCGTTTCCTTTAGTCGTTTCTTGATATCTTCATACGCAGTGACAAGTGCAAAATGTGAAGCAATGGACTCATCCCCTACATATGTTGGAACAGGAATCTCTCTCTCTCTTCTGAGAGTACCATCTGCTTTTTCATGATTCAAAATATAGATGTCATCTTCTCCCAGCTCATCCATGACAGCTGTTTGAAAAGACATTTATTTAAAAAATTCTCACCATGATACAGTGCTTTTTGATGTACAATTTAAAATGCCTTGAGACATAATGCCAGAGAAACTTTTTTAAAAAAATCCTTCTTTATCTTTTCCATTGCCATGTCATGTCATAACTAAGGATGTAAGCGGGTAGTCGAGTACTTGACTACCCAATAAGCTTAAGTTTATGAGCGAGTCAAGTACTCAACTACTCGCTCCCTCCCCCGCCCTATATTACAGGCAGCAAGTGGGGGAGAGAAACAAGTGCCAGTGCTGAGGGGAGCCGGCTCAAAAGCCAGTTCCTGCAGCACCATCTCCAAGATGCCACCTGTCCCCCCAAATCCCTCTGCTGCCTCTATCAGAGGCACCAGCAAGGGTGATTGGTGAGGCTGCCACGAAACAGACTCTACCTGCGATGGGCCAAGCAAGCCCAGATCAGTCCTGGCTCGTGCCAGTCCAGGACCGCTGTGGCTCTGCATTTTAAATCTACTAAAGCAGCTCATTTAAAATGCTGAGCCACAGTGGGGGTAGCTCCTGGACCGGTGCTAGACGAGACAGAGTACCTTCTCTTATCGACTAATCGTGTAGTTGATACAAACTGTACTACAGGCCATTGAAGCAATGGTACACACTGTAACATCACAGAAGCTGCAAAAATGACAGAGTCTGAAAACAGTGTAGATCCAGCCAATGTGACTGAAGTCTTCCATCTGTGAGAAACAAACTGCACATACAATGACTGCACATGTTCAAATTTTAAATACAAGCGGCACACATTTCCCTCAAATGCTCTCTCCTGTGCTACATACTTAAGACTGTAATGGCTGGTTTGGCTGATCCTGGGGCCTGCTACTGCAAAGTAGCACTAGCTGCTGGTTAGGGCCACCTAGCCAGCAGTTAGTGCTGCAGGCCTTGGGTACTGCCAGAGAATCAGCAGACCCTGGATCAGCCCAGTGTACGGGTTGAACCTCTCTATTCTGGCACTCTGATCAGGCAACATCCATGGTCTGGCATGATTTTTATTATTTTTTATTTCCCAAGTTTCTCACAATCCCATAAAGTTTGTTTACAGCCACCTGTCCTGGTTCTCAGTGTTCTGTGCTGTTACTTAGCTCTAATTTACCTGTAAGTGTCTTCTAAGAGCCCATAAGGCGGTGAAAGTGTTAGTAGTGCTGCTACACAATATTGACCTCCAGAGATTCAATAAATTCTCTGATGTCAGATTAGACATTCAACCTGTAGCAGCACCAGAGCAGCAATGGTCTGAGCCACATCCTCCCCTCAAGCAGCGAATATTAATCAGGAATATTTATAGTAAAAGTCATGGACTTTTTGTCATTAATCATGATCTGCCCATGACATTTACTAAACATACCCATGACTAAATTTAATCCTTACCCATACTTAATCTGGAAGCTGTACTGGAAAAACTGAAAGGGTTTGTCCAATCTTCTTTGCCCATGAGAACATCCCCCGGCCTGTGTGTCACCCTACTGTCCTTTCCTACAGCAGGAGCTCTCTGTGACACTCCCAAGAACTCCCTCATGCCAGGGCGTCTCTGTGCCCCTGCTCCAATCTCTGGTCTTTGTCTCCCTCATTGCCAGAGTCTGTGTTCTCTTCAATAGGTCCCACTTTTCCCATCTCCTCTCCAGTCTCAGTTCCTGCTTCCACATTCAACCACCCAGTTCCTCCCTTCTGAATCCTCTCTACTTCTCCCACCACTCTGCAGCCCCACTGCCTCACCAGTCTTTGCTTAACTCCTTCCAAACTCTCCCTTGTAAGGCACGCTTAATTCTAATAGGCTTCCTAGTTCGAACTACCATTACCCCTCATTCCACATACCATTACTCCTCATTCCACTACGAGGAGTAATGGTAGTTCGAACTAGGAAGCCTAGTTCGAACTACCTAGTTCGTGCCCCGTGTAGCCGCGCGGCACGGGGTTCGAACGAGCGGGGATTTAAAAATGGCGGAGCCCCGCTTATGCAAATGAAGCCCGGGAAATTCAAATCCCGGGCTTCATTTGCAATTGCGGTATGCCTACATTACCCTCCTATTTCGAATTAGGAGGGTAGTGTAGACATACCCATAGAGTCCAGGCAATAGCCAACAACCCCGTACAGCAAGAAAACCTGCTGCTTGTGATGGGTTTTAGCATAGCAGGAAGTGGAAGAAAGATTCCACCTTAGCCTGCTGCACCAGGAAACCTGGGACCAGGGTTGGCCCACAACACTTTGGCACCTGAGGCAGGAAGCTCGAATGACTCCCCCATGCCCAGGCCAAAACTTTGAAAGGTCTCAATTCTGCCTTCTTCCTGTTCTACTTCTCTTATGGTACTGCTCTGCTACCTACATATGCACCAGCAGAAGACACAATTTTCCACACTCTGGGTCCTAGTGATGCCCCCTCCCACCCACAATCTGGCACCTAAGGCGGACGCCTCAGTTCACCTCATGGTAAGGCCAGCCCTGCCTGGGGCCCCAGTTTTTCTTATTAATTGGGCTTTTATGGTGTTCCAACTTGCAATAAAATCAACAGTCTCTAAAAGTTTGCAATTGATAGTTATTGGCTTATCAACAACCACCAAGTTGAGTGTTAGACCTCACTTTGTTTGGCCAATGAAAGAGTTTTGTGGTTACAGAAGTGGATGCTGAAGACAGAGAAACTGATTCAGTCATCCCATGAGATAGGGGCTTTCAGGGCTTGCTTAAGGTAAGTACCCTTCCAAAAGCCATCAACTAGCAACTGACTGGAGCTAGATTCAAATTTACTAAACAATTTAATATCCAATTAACAATCCCCTTAGGAAAAAAAAAACAGTATTACTGGAAAACTGTGTATATGCATTAGTCAGCTTTTAGTCCTCTTTCTCTGCACACTCAAGTAGCTCTTAGCCTTTATTAGGTTCAATTCTGATAATTTCTTACTAAACTTCAGATACGATCTCCTGTTTTTCATTCTTGTCATTGAGATGCTGGCTAACCGACCAGGTTACGCTAGAGAGTATATTCCAGTCAGTTCAGCTGTGAATTAAATCAAAGGGATTATAATTGTGTACTTTTTTTGGGGGCGGGGAAGAGGGCTTAAACTTCATAAAACTAATGGAAGGTTACTTGTAGTTTTCCACTTAACCATTCTTGTCATAATGTAATAGCAAACATTTACAAAGTACCATTGCAACTAAGTTATCATTTCACACGCTTCCTTAGATAAAGCACTTAAAGACCTTAGTTATATTTTCTGTTATAGCCACTTTCTATGAAATTATTTATGACGAGAGAAAAAAAGTTGAAGTGCCTTCCTCACTCACTCTCATCAAAGGAAACACCCGCATGATTAGAGAGACTGTCAGCTTGTCTTCAGTAAGGTACACATAGAGATTCAAATACAGCTCCTTTATCTCTGGACTATTGAAATTCTAACAGGGCAGAATAACTCAAAGAGCTCCAAAATTATTCTGGGAAGTCCTAGAAAAACCTTTTGGAAAACTAGCAGTCTGTTAAATCACTGCCACCATTTGAGTTATAAACAGCGGTTTACCTGTTATAATTTTACCTGCTTTAACATCTCAAATAAACACAATTTTTTTGTTTACTAAAGAACTGTCATCCAGAATTGTCTTTGGTGTAAGATCTAGAGTATCAATGGATCTGGGATATGTGACTGGTGCACCAGGATGAGAAATCAGATGTGACGTGATTTTAGGTTTAAATTATCTTTTATCACAAAGTTCAGATAGCATGGGTGGAAAGACAGGCTGGAGAGCTAAGGCCTGTCTATGACCCCACAGTAAGACTAGTGCAGTGATCCAGGATTTCACATTTGTTACTGGCTTGGTGAAATACAGTTATAGAAGTCTGCGATGTCTGCCACGGTTTTCTGATAGTCTGCCCTGATATACTAACTCCCAGAGGCAAACCTCATGGCCTATACTTATTTCCATGCTATTCTCCTAATTAATAAACAACAAATTGATACTCCAGATATTGTCATCTTTGGGCTCTCTTTCAAAAAGTTTATGACCCAACTTTCTGAACCAATACAAGACATAGCATGTATAAATGCTGCTTTATAAATTCAGGGGTTATACATTTCTCCTGTGCCTATTGTGGGGATTTTTGCTGCACTAAAAAGTTGTGCTTCAAAGGATCTTTAGTTTTTTAAAATATATTCTTAAAATCCTACATTAGAACTGGTTCTTCATATATCTAGACTAGTGCTTTGTCTTTGACCATTATACAGAAGCACAGTTGTGGCTCCTTAGTCAGTCACATGGAATTTTACACTTAATGAAATGCTTGAATCCCCACCTAATGTAACACTACAGTATATCTTTCCTAAAATTACAATCATTAAACTGTGGAAGAAATTAACTTTTAGAAGTCCAAGCCACAACACCACAGAGTCAGCTTAGCCTGATTCTCCCATTTTTTTTTTTTTTTGGACAGGCTGAGTAACCCTTTTTAAGTTAATGTAATGTAATGCTGCACATGCAATCATCAGTACAGTCATATCTGATATGACCAGGTAGGTGAGGAACTATATTTTATTGGACCAGTTTCTGTTAGTGAGAGAGACAGAACCTAAAGAAGAGTTTTGTGTGATCTTGAAAGCTTCTTTCCTTTTCTCTCACTCAACAGAAACTTGTCCCTTTAATAGTTGGGGAAACAACACAGCTGCAACAGAAGATCTGGTATGGAATGTTTTATTTGGTTCTACACGGCATATGAAGACAATCTATTCATGAGAAACATCCAGCTTATGCTAAGTTAGAGGTGCCCAAACAGGCACTTTTCCTCTCAGGATGTTTGGATGGCCAACATCAACTCCTTCAGGGTATGTCTACACTGCCACCCTAGTTCGAACTAGGGTGGCTAATGCAGTCATTCGAACTTGCAAATGAATTTGCATTTATTTGCATGTTCCCAGGCGCTGCCATTTTTAAATGCCCGGTAGTTCGAACCCTCTGCCTGCGGCTACATGCGGCA